GTAACGTAGTACTTGTTGTTACGTAGTAGATACTAATAGTTAGTTACTTACTAGTATATATATATATATATATATAGTATATATATATATATATATATATATATAATGTCCTTATGCATTTCTAGAAGTGCATTTCATATGACTGTTGTACAGTTGAAGGCCTTATGCTGTGCAGACCAAGTGTGTCCACTCCCATTTGTACCTGGCAATTGTTTTTTTTTTGGTGGGATCATCATGCATGGAGGGTCATATATGTATAGTGACACATGACGTGTGGGTTCATGCTCAGACAAGACTAATCCCTCTAGGATATAAACTCGCCTGATTTCATATTCCTTTCCATAAAAGAACAATCACAGGCCTGAGGATATGTGATCCACACTAAATCTCTAAAAGTGCTTGAGGAATGTATGGCTAGTCCTTTTCTATGTCTAACTAAAGAACATATGGTTCCTTTCAGATTTTCATGCATAGATTATCTCGCAATCAGCAGAAAAGGTAGACTAACCAGACATACATGAGTATTTTTCTTTAGGTAGAACTGTACGTTTTCCTGCCATTAACAAGATGACTGACTTACATATTTTCATTCTTCAATTGATCTTTGATATACTAAAAGAATCTATTTCATCCCAGAATGATATATTCTTTGGTGAAGCACTTGAACTTAAGTAACAGAAACATCTAGTGGGAGAAATAAAGTCTAATAATAATACTGATAATATGGTAATTAGAGGATGCAAGAAGTTAAATAACACCTTTATTCTTCCTCCAAGTACATTATTCATCCCTCTCTCCTTGATGGTATAAGCTATATCTTCTACTTTGGCACATCTCACTGCTTCCCAGTCCACAGAGTCTTGCGAGTCGGGATCTCTTGCTCCTGAGCATGGTTGTATGTGCCTTTTGAAGGATTCCCATTCGAAAACCGCTTTCTTGACTACTGTCACCTTTCCCTTCTTCTGTTTTTCTTCAACTCTTTCAGTATTTTCATTTGTGACACTGGAACTTCCATCCCTTATATTTGGGGCATCTGGATTCTTTTCTACGGGTACTTCCCTGTCCTCTATTCTCAAGCATTCAGCAATATCTTGAGGACGATCTAGTATACTTGAACTAAAATGCTCTGCTGTCTCGTCTTTCTGCCCTAAACTCTTGGGAGTTCTTTCAGCCCGGGTTTCATCTGCATTCAAAGAACTTTCAGATGAGAGATTCTGCTTCCCTGACTCTTCTGAGAAATCAATTGCATGATCATGGGATAAACCTGAACTCAGATGGCAAGTGCCATCTAGTTCCTGAGTTGTGTCCTCGTTCTTCTCCTTTTCACAAATGCTGCTTAAGTTGGAATCTCTTCTGAGAGCTCCTGGTTCCAAAGAGGGTGATGACTGCAATTGTTCTCCACAGTTTTGGGTATTGGGGGATAAATTGGTGCCAAAAGTTTCATTTTGCAGAGTAATAGGTTCTGCTAAAGTTTCTTTATTGGAAGCCGGTTGATTTCTTTCACAGTTGATGCAACTCTCAGCATCAGTTTCAATATCAGTTGAGACAACAGGAGATTTTGTTTCTTCAAGTGAAGCTTCAGAGCATTTCTCATGTGTGGAATGTGTAATTGAATCTCTCAACAAAATGTAAGCAGCAGAAAGTTCTTTTTCAATTGTTTCCTTTAACTCAACTTTTCTCTGGAGCATAGGCGTGCTATTATTTGGCAATGAGTTTGACAGCTTTCCATCACCTGACTGATCCAAACTTGGTGTTTCCTTCTCATGCATATGTTCCTCAGATGACATAGTATAGGTCCGATTTAGGTCCAAATCCCATATAATTTTTGTCCTTGTTCTATTCAGAAGCTCTTTGAAGGAAGAGCCATTGGCATTGTCATGATTGCAACTGGTCATCATCTCATCTCTTTCAGGAGTGGATCCTGAACTTGATCCATAGTGCTCCACAGTCTGAATGGTCGAAGTAGAATCTTGGGATGAGGTAAATTGCAGATCAGTGTTTTGCATTGATTCCCCATTCTCTGCTTCTGTCTGACTTGATCTGTTCTTTTCCATAGTTTCATTGTTTGGTTGATGCTCAATCGCTTCCACATATGATGACTGACTCATTTCAGATCTAGGTAAATCCATCCCTTGTAATAAGCATTGTTTGTCATACATGACATCATTTTCACATGACTCGTTATACTGTGCCATGGCCTTTATAAGATCTTCTCTGCATTCATTTTCTTGAGGGGGCACAGAGCTTTCTTGCTGACTTTGTTTGATTGATAAGTTTTGGCAATGGATTGTTTCTTCAGAGTCCATGATGATCACTTCTGGCTCTTGTTGGATGATCTCTTGTGGCTCTTGCAAATGCACCTCCACTGAGGGTGTTTGAGCTGTTGCATTGTTGCTACCTCTCTTGTGAGGAAAGCGCGACGCAAGGGACAAGAATGCAGAGCTGGAAATATGTCAAGACAAAAACTATTACTCTGTCTAACCAAAATGTCAAATACTCATTGTCAGTTCAAGTTTCATTGCAGCAAGCTTGCATGTACCTGGAAAGGTGATCGGAGACATTCTGAGTTAGAAATACTCCAACTACCGAGTCAACGACAGATCCTTTCCACTTCGAGAATCGCCTGTCTCCTGCACAGTTATTTATTTATTTTTGGTATCTAGAGAAGAATAATTCTCAAGGAAATCAAATCCATTGGCATCTATAGGCAAATAATTTAAACAGCCCAATATAATAGCTACCAAAGATAGAGCCTAAGACTAAAGCATTTAGCACCATGCACAGAAGCATGAGAAAATAAATTTACAGCTGAGGCAAGATCTTTGATAAATGGTTACACCTGCACATGTCACACTTGAATTAGAAAAAGATGAACAAAGAAATAATGGAGAAGGGAATCAAAAACTTGCTTCCAGAATGAAGGTGGATTACCTTGCACCAGATGCATGCGTGCAATAAATGAATCCGCAAGTCCTTCGAATCTTTGCCGTTCCCTTTCCCACCATTTCTCCTTCTCCTCGTCGAGTCCATCTAGACCATCAGTCTCATTGCCCATCAAAAGCTTCCAGACCCGAGTTGTTTCCATGTCTAGATCAACTTTGATCCTTGAACGCCTCTTTCGTCTTTCGTATGGCACCATTTTACCATCTCCAATGTAAGGAACCAACTGATTTTCCTTGCTCTCATCGATAATTGCTAGAGCTTTCAATTTTTTGACAAGCACATCAATAGGATCGAACAATGTCTCTGATGCATGAGACCCCCATTGTGCAATGCTGCTACTATGATGATCATGAGTGAAATTCCTTGGAACGATATGCCACCCTCCAGGTTGAGGATGATGGGGAAAAGAAATCTCATTTGAGATGCCATCTTTGTGCATTTGGGGAGAATAAGAATGAGATTTCATAAAGGAAGATTGATTCTCCAAGACCCCTTGAGCATGAAGGCGCATGATTTCTTCAAGATGAGTTTCCTTCTTTGCACGTTTCAATTTCCTATTGACAGGAGTTGGTGCTTGCTTCATCGAACCTGCACTGGGCTCTGTTGTTAATCTCAAATTGTAATTCCCAGCCAATTGCAAAGAGTTCAAGTCCTCAACTTGGTCATGTTTTCTCTTTCTTCTTCTTCTCTTTTCCTTTTCTTCCATACTGGTAGTTGTGGCCACCATATACTTATGGACATGGAGGTCAAAATTGACATGGCTTCCTCCACGAACATTAGTTGACAGTGCTTTCATGGAGAAATTTTCTCTTTTGCGATCATACTCACAAGCACTAGGTCTGGCCGTACCATCTTTCCCAGTGCTTTTAAGTATGAACAACATCTTGTCTGTTAGTTTCTTGTTACGTACTGGTTCCTGCACACAACTCTTTGAGATTTCTCCAGCTATCTGGGTAGAAGGAGAGGAAAGGTCAATGGATGCAGGCTCACAGAGCCTCTTCCCAGCCATATTGTTCACCTGAAAATTTGGGAATTGCAGACTTTTCTTGTGTACACTGTACTCCTGAAGCATCTCTGTATAGGATTGCTTGAGTCTAAGAATAGGGTGAACTGACTCTTTTGTTCGAAATTGTAGTTCATTAGAAGAAAAACCCACTTCTTGGACTTGTCCATGATGTGCCTGGGTAGTTCCCACGTCTCTTCTTCGAGCAAGGGTTTTTACATTCATATTTCGCTTCATTGAAGATGCCAACTCTGGATTCGGAGGTGGATTATGGCAGCTCACCAGAGGTGGATTTTGTGATGGGTTATGGTAGTTTTCCAGAGGTGGATTTGGTGGCATATGGTAACTGTCTGGAATTTGTGGTTGTGACTGGTTCATATCAAATGGATGTTTGTCCTGAACCCGTATAGTTGGTTCAAATCTGATCTCTCTTGGCTGAAGTTTCTCTTGGGGTATTGCAGCTGTTTTCAAGTCTTCCTCTCTATGATGGATTTCATCATCAAAGTTCAAAACCCGCCTGCATGAAGGAGTACTGCTAACTCTGGCAGCTGTAATAAAGTCAACACGAACTTTGGTTGCTGAACTAGAAGCATTACTAGTATTAGGGACCAAATTAGCACCAGCACCAACACTAGCAGCCAAACTAGTAACACCACTAAAATTGGCAGCCTCGCTAGCGGGATTGGTTATGGCTTCTGTAGGGGACGTGTTGGCCTTGTTACGCTTTCCTGGGGACCTCTTCTTCTTTGTTGGCACATTTTCTTTTGAGGCAGCAGCCTTTGGGGTCCTATTGGTTTGGCCTTCTTTGATCACTTTTGGCCTTATCTTTTTCCTCTTTGGTGGTTTTTGAGCTGGTGTTTTGTATAGGTCCATGCCTTGAGCTTCTTTCTTTTCCACGATCTGGCATTCCTTCTCTTGGTTCTCCGGAACAAAGCTGCCTTCTTTACTGAGTGCCGTATGACCAGGCTCATTTTCAGGCAAGATCCTACAGTGTGGATTGTTTTCTGGCAATGTTTCCGACAATTCCATATGCAGTGGAGCATTTTGTGGCAAAGTTTCTGGGGAGACCTGAGGTTGTGGGATATTTTCTGTCAAATATTCGGACAAGATCCTTGGATGCAAATTTCTCTCCAAATAGAAATCAGTGGCCACTGAGGACTGGTGGTTCCTTATCCTCTCTTCCCCAATACTCTTTTCTGGTGTCACAGGTGCTAGAGGTGATTCCTGAGCTTCACTTGAGCTCATGTTAGCTACTGTTTTTGGTACTGAATCAAGCTCGTCCACATGAATAAAAGGAACTGGAAATCCATCTGCATTATTAGGAGTAATTTACATAAAAAATAAAAAATGAGTACTTTACACTAGCAATATTGTATGCACTTTTTTACTTTAAGAAAACTAAAACTCCTCTCTCCTACATTCGCTGGGATAGAGCCTAAATGATGCTCTAATTTGTAGATAAAGAACTGATGAAAAAGTTCCAGGCTAGAATTTCCAAATTTCTAATTAACTGATGACTTGTGGCCCAAACACACAACCAATGTGTCAAGATTGTTAGCTACTGGTGATTGTGCTACATGAACCAGACTTTGACAGATGTTAAGCGCCAACAGTTCACAGAAAACAGACTTTGATAGATGTTAAGATGTTGAGCACCAACAATTCACAGAAAACATAAGTTATTATTTCTTATCTTATTTGTTATATATTTTTGGTTTATTAAACTAAAATCTAAAAAATGAAATTGCATAATCCCAAAATGATAAGAAATAATGTTGTATTTACTTTAGGGGCTAAGATTATATGAATAACATACATGGATTTTTAAATTAAAAACCACTTTTCTAGTTTCAAAGAGAACCAACACAGAATCCAATTGCAGCATCCAACAAAAAAAGAGCTCAAAAACCACATATTCAATGGTTAAATGAATAATATGAATAATAGATTCAAATGAAGAATTATGTGGCAATTTTATTTCACTCTGAAAATAATGCTTTCCCAAGTTATAAGAAATAAAAACAAATCTTTCACAGAAATGGTCATGCAGCTTAAATGGAGAAAGTTTTTCTTTTGAACATTACCCAAAAAAAAAGTTTTCTTTTCGGTATCTGGTGAAAGTAATTTTCTACACTAAAAATGAGACTCTTACAATTTAAATAAAAATATTTCTTAAGTTATTTTACTTGCTTTGAAAAATATCTTTATAACTTATAAAAAAACATATTTTACTTGCTCTGAAAAATATCTTTATAACTTGTAAGAAAAAACAAAAAGCTGAAAGCTGCTTACTTGAAGATCGAAGAGGAGTAGGAGATGGAAAAGGAGGGCGACCAGCAGTACACATATTCCCAATATTCCCAACATTGACTGAGTTCCCCTTCATCATTATTAGCCAATCCATGTAGTTCATACCAGGAAAGGCAAATGTGGTGCAGCCGCAGCTTTCTGGAAAGGGAGGAAACCTCTTAGAATGTTCTGGAACATCCGTGAAAGGAAGAAGACTACAGCCATTGAATTCGACACTAGAACCCGATGCCATGTTCCTATAATCCTCTGCACAAAATTTCTAGATCCGAATATCTTCAAGCTTTCCACTGAACTAATGTTCCCACAAAAGAGTTCATTCATGACACAAAAGAGTTCATTCATGGATTACAGAGTCATAAACTTTTCAATAAAAGAGTTCATTCATGGATTACAGAGTCAGAAACTTAAGATTACAGAGACAAGAGAGAGAGGACTTGGGCATTTTCTAATTAGTGATTACAAGAGGGCTGAGAGCTAAAGAAACCTTGACCAAACTACTGTAAAAAACCTAGTTGCATAATGAAACCGCAAAATATCAGAACTCCCTAAGGGACTCTGCAAAAAATTGTTCGGACACTGCAAAAGTTGTTCATTGTTGACGAGACTTCAGAGCAAACGGAAGCAAATCCATAGAGAAAACTTACTGGAAAATTTAGAAAATTTATTGGAAAAAGCAAGGAAAGAGAAACCGAAGATACGCTGGTTTAGTTTGTAGAGATGAAGCTCAGATCTCCGATAAATCTTGGCCCAAATTCCTCGATTAAAAATCCAGCGATCAAGCGAGAAATGAGGAACAGAAATAATTCTCAATTTTTTTTTTTTTAATAATTCACAGAAAAGCTAGCAGTCTTACTTACCTCTGCAATGTAGAGGAGAAAACAAAAGGGAGAGCTTGTAAATTCACTGGATTTGCCCTCTTATTGAGTTCAAAGTCCACAAACTGATAATCTTCTTCTTCTCTTTCTGTTTTTAACATAGTTTATTTTTTATCCAATAAATACATTATTATTAATTTTTGGGTAGTTTGTATCATTAATTAAAATCATAAGAATTATTAATTGATTTTTTATACATTTAATTATTAATAACAATGAAAATAATATACTTCAGGAGCAAAATTAAAAAGAAAAAGAAAAAGGAAATATCCAAATTCTGTTTGTTTTTATCTATTATTTATAAGATTGGCTTCCATTAATTTATCGTCTCAAAATTTTCCATTACCATAAATTGAGTTGGGCTTTTGCACGTGATAACCGAATATCGAAGCATCGGCTTCCTCTATGACACGTGGCAGCTGCAGACGGCACCTGGGTAGCGAGATGCAATACTAACTGAACATCTTTCAAACGAACGGCCATGAATGGCGACAACAGTGGGCCCACCTTCCGGAGCCTTACCTAAATTCGATGCACCGTACGTCATCGTCAAATCCCACGTGTCTTTTCGGTTGCGACACGTGTTACTAGGGTTTCCTTTTGATAACTTCGACGTGTTGTTAAGTTAGGGTTAGGGTTGCTGGCCCTCGGTTAAAACCCCTAAAACACGTTAACATGCAATTAATTAGCGGCTTTTATGGTTTAGATGTGGTTAATTTTTTTTTAAGTGTTGAGGGATAGGTATATAGTTAAGAACCGCTGGCGCATGATTCGTTACGGCGTTGGTGGCAATTGCAACACTACATCCCAAGTTTACCGCGGCTCCTCGTATGAGCGATATAGGATAGGTTTGACCTGTTGCTGTCTGGGATAAAGGTTGATTAAAAAAAAATTAATCCGTTTTTTAAAAAAGTACGTTTACGTGGTTGGGGTTAAAATATATTGAGTTTTATAATTAGAGATGAAAATATATTTTATATTAAAAAAATTAATTAAAATTTTAAATATATTTTTAAAAGATTTAATTTTATAATTAAAGATAAAAATAAATTTATCTTTTATTTGATCCATCAAGTAAGAGCCCCAAGCCACGCTTAGGGAAAATGTGTTCGAATAAAATATAGAGAAAATATCTTTGTCGGTTTTAGGTTTTCTTTTTTAAGAACACAAGTATCTATAGCACAAGTATCTATTATATCTTCTAATCTTTTTGACCAATTTTACTCATTTTATCTATATTTTTAGCCCAAGCCAATTGAGAGTAAAAGAAACTATTTTTAGGTTTTATTTCTCTCTTGTATTTCCACTAACCCCTCTCTCCTCGTGTTTTCACTCGCTCTCTCTCTCTCTTGCTCTTTCCCCGTTATCTTCCATCCCTTCTCTTACTCTCCCTCTTTACCTCTCTCCATTAACTTCCATCCCCTCTCAAAACATTCCTTTGCCTTCGGTTAAACGACAATTTAGGTTTTATAGAGAAAGAGAGTTTATTTACCGGTCTTAAGCTCCCATGATTTCACTTGGCTTCCATGGTCAATGAAAAAGAGAGAGAGTTGATTGATCTCGGTCTCCCATGATTTCACTTGGTTTCCATGATCATTGGAACCCGGAAGGTAAGATCATAATTATTATTGATACAGGTCTTTTCCGTATAAAAATAAAACATAAAAATGGAATGTGCTGTTACAATAGAACCATAAGTGATATGGATTATTCAAGAATTTGATTGCTTTATAAAAAAAAGATATCAATGAACTCTTATGAAAAGGGTTCAACACGATTCAGCCAATTGTCTCGATTGTGGGATATCATTGATAAATGCGATTCAACCCATTGTCTCGATCGTGGGATATCATTGAGGAACGCGATTTAGCCAATTGTCTCGATCGTGGAATCTTGTCTCAATCGTGGAATATCATTGAGAAATAGGAATCCGTGTTCTCAAAGGATTTCCCGTGATTGCCAATTGTCTAAATCGTGGGATATCGTTGAGAAATAGGAATAGGAATCCGTGTTCTCAAAAGATTTCCCGTGATTATTCTTAGTATGGAATGAGTCAATCATCCACAAACACATTGGTAGTCTCTCACTCACCAATTACGCTCACCAATTACGACGATGATACGAATAAATTACGACGATGATATAGAGAAATTACGACTACAATGATGATACAGAGAAATTAAATTACGATGATGATAGACAGAGACTGACCAAAACTAAAAGCGTCCCTCCTTTCCTTTTCATCCCTCTAGAACCGCAAAGTCAACGCCCATTAAAAAAAAGGAAAAAAAAGAGACCAAATAACAGAAAAAGAAAGCTCATTTACTCAGCGATTCTCATATTCATAACGGAAAAAGAAGTATAAGGGTCGTTTTTCTTCACATGGGTCGTTTTTCTTCGATATGGTACCCCAGCTTACAACGAGACTTCATTTTCATAGAGGAGAGTGTTGGAAATATGGCCTATCAGATCCTTTTATCCGAGAATTTATTTTTCAATAATGGTACAAAAGCCAATATTGTATAATATATATTAAATCCCATTTGGTTGACATGAGGCAATCCTATATACTAGGATCCATTTTGGAGCTTTTATAGGATGTTGCACTCGAGGGAAAACCAATGTCTCTGTTTGAATTCTTTATAAGAGTTAATTTTTTATTATAGATATACATTATTATTAAATTTTTAAATTTCTTTGATCAAATTGCAAGAATGCTTAGATGACATCTTATTATGTGAGTCATTAATGCCCTAATGACAGATTTAGCTCATTATATAGGATTAACAATTTGATGACAACTTGTTAATTTTAATTGGCTGCAATTAAGAGAATTAAGACATGAGTTATATTTGGATCTCAACTCCTATAGACCATGAATATAAGAGTTACAAAAGATGGTTCTCTATAAAAAGAGGTTAACCTCTCAAGTAATATAAGATAGAGAATGATGGAAAATTGGTGAAGGTGATTCACTAAGAAGACTCTCAAGGTAGCCTGTCACCGGATGCCTTGGTCTATTAGTTTTGGTATGGAACCTTAAGCCCTTCGTGTGATTTAAGGACATATCCGAGTACGTTATTTATCGTTTTTATTTAGTTATTTTCATTATTGGGACTAACAGAGAAAGCGCATTTCTTCTTTCTCTCGTCAATGTTCATTTATTTGTTGCCTATACTCTAAACTACAAAAGGAATTATCACCCCTGCAATAAATAATAACACATCAGCAATCAAAAGCCCTAAAAGTGTTGTTTTTATTTATATAATTATATAAAAATCTAATGAAAATAGGGAAGGAAATGGATTATGCAATGGTATTTTAAGGATATGTATAAAAAAAGCCGAGCGCAATTTGTCATCGGAACGTTGTGAGCTTTACATTTGTCTTTGTGGGTAGAGCATTGATTTATTTAGCAGACCAGAAGAGACGGCTTTCTCCAAGTTCACACAGACAGAGGTGAGAAACACGGGTAGAGAGAGAGAGAAAGGATTGGGTGGGGAAATATGAAGAGAGAAGGGGTTTTGGGAGAGAGAGAAATTACGGAAATATCATGTAAAGAGAGAGTGGATGAGTTTTAGAAATGATTGTCTTTATAGAATTTGTTTGGGTTAAAACAATATGATTAAATTGGGTAAAATTAGCTCACGGGTTAGAAGATATAAAACTTAAAATTTTTATCTTTCAAGTTTTGAAACCTTGGCTCTATGAAGATATGAAACTTAGAAATAGGGCGTACGGAGATATCTTCCCTTTTTTAAAAAGTTTGTTTAGGCTAAAAATGAGGTAAAAATGGATAAAGTTGATCTAGGAGCTTAAAAGATATAATAGAAACTTTACCTATTTTTATCTTTTTTTTTAAAAGTTTGTTTAGGCTAAAAAGATGATGTAAATATGGATAAAGTTGGTCTAAGGGCATAAAAAATACAATAGAAACTTTACCTATTTTTACGCATCTTTTTAGCCTAAACAAATTGACATTATTTTTAAGTTTTATTTCTCTATAGACCAACGTAAACAAATTGACCCTAGGTTTCAACAAACCTATCTAGAAGCCGATTTTATCTATTAGATCAATTAATACCAACTTTTACCTATTTTTACATATCTTTTTAGCACAAACAAATTTTTAAAATAATCCTTTTTAAACCCACTCTAGATCCTTTAAGACCAGCTTTTACCTATGTTTACCCATCTTAAAACCACTCTATCTCTCCGCATGAATCTCCCACACCTTTCTTTTTCTTTATTCCCTCAATTCTCTCACTCCATATCTATCCCAAATTTTTGAGAGAGAGGTGTTTGGGAGTTTCACGTGGAGAGAGAAAGTGTCCCCCAATTCTTTTTCTCTTCCCATATCTATCTAAAATTTGTGGGGAGAGAGAAAGTATCCCCTAATTCTTTTTCTCTTCTCATATCTATCCAAAATTTGTGAGAGAGGTGTTTGGGAGTTTCAGGGGTAGAGGGAAAGAGAAATACATGAATAAAGAGCATTTTTTTTTAAAAAAAAAAAAATTGGTTAGGTTAAAACGATGAGGTAAAAATGGATAAAGTTGGTCTAGGGACTTAAAAGTTATAATACATAGAATGTATCTATGGATAAATGAAACTTAAAAATAGGGTATATAGAGATATTTTCCCAAAACTTAATTAACAATAGTAGATGTAGCATTAAGTTAATGGAATAATCTACTAAACCTTCTTGATATATTTTTAAGTTAATGGAGGAATTTACTAAACCTTATAGGGCATATGGATATATTTTCTCAAAACTTAATTAACAGCAATAGATGTGGCATTAAGTTAATGGAATAATTTACTAAACCTTCTCACTTAGATATATTTTTAAGTTAATGAAAGAATTTACTAAACCTTTATATTTATATTTATTTTATTTATAAATCATATGAATATGAAATTTAATACGTGTCATCATTACAATAGGGTATATACTTAAAAAATATTAAAAACTATTTTTGATAAAAATAAAATGATCTAAATATTTCTAAAACTCTTATTTTGGTTATTTTATTTTATTATGAACTTTTTTGTATAGATATATATATATATATATAT